CTGTAACCAGAGGAGGGAGGGAAAGTTCACACTTCAAACTAATTGGAGAACATGATTGATGACTATAAAATGAAGGCGTGAGTTATGCTTTGCTACGGGTGTTTGGGGGTGGGAGGATTCAGTTTTTTGCTTCATTATGTACATGCTGAAGCTTTGCAGCAGTAAAAGGATTCTTTAAGGTAAATAAAGCCTCAAAGTTCTTTGAAAACCTGCCTCCTTCGGAACCATGACATCATCGAGTTGAAAAAAAAAGAAATAAAATATTAAATAAAAAAAGAAGAAAGAACTCAAAGGGCAGTCTAGATGCAGCACTAGGTCTTTTTCTGCCATCAGTTTTCTGTTTCTATCTTTTTATCCCATACTCATAGGGTTGCTCTTGAAACCCACCTGGAATTTTTAAAATGGTCCAGAATGCAAAGACATGCACAGTGTTGAGTTTCTGTGTGCTCTTCCATAGGACACCCCTACTGTGCAATCTCCACAGAATCCCAGTTTCTTTCCAGGTGCAATTAAATTCACCTTTCAAACCCTCCATGAGACAGAACCAGGGTATCTGGAGGGTTTCCTCTCCTTGAGGATAACTCCTTGTCCCACCAGAGTAGGTAAAATTGGCATTCAAACAATCTATTCCTTAAAAGATTCCCACTTTATGGATCTTCTTTTAATTTTATATTTTTGTTGTTGTTCTTTTTATAGTTGTGTGTACTGGGGATTTTGTTGTTGTTGTAGTTTAAGTATATTCCATTTACTGAGACTTTTCTGTCTCTCTGTATCACATCTTATCCAAAGTTTTTCTTGAAATTTGAAAGACTATAAAAGAAATATTACTTTCTTTTCTCAGATACCAAAAAATGCACCAAGTGCCCAGATGATCAATATCCAACTGAGAACCGAGTCCAGTGTATCCCCAAAAGAATAACCTTCCTGTCCTATGAAGAACATCTCAGCATCATCCTCATCTCCTTTACTCAACTGTTGTTCCTAATCACAGGCTTTGTTTTAATCATATTCATTAAATACCTTGAAACTCCTATTGTCAAAGCCAACAACCGGGACCTCTCCTACATCCTCCTGGTCTCCCTTCTGCTTTGCTTCTTATCCTCCTTGTTCTTCATTGGCCAACCAAGGAAAGCCACCTGCCTTCTCCGACAAACAGTGTTCAGCATTGTCTTCTCAGTAGCCGTGTCCTCTGTGTTGGCCAAAACAATCACAGTAGTGCTGGCATTCCTAGCCTCAAAACCAGGCAATAAAGTGAAAAGATGGTTGGGGAAAAGCTTGGCCAACTCCATCATCCTTTCTTGTTCTACTGTCCAAATTCTCATCTGTGCCATGTGGTTGGGAGTTTCTCCCCCATTTCCTGAATCTGATCTGCACTCCCAGCCTGAAGAGATTATCCTTCAGTGCAACGAAGGCTCTGTCACCATGTTTTATGTTGTCCTTGGCTACATGGGCTTCCTTGCTGCCATTTGCTTCACTGTGGCTTTCCTGGCCAGGAACCTGCCTGGAGCTTTCAATGAAGCCAAGCTGATCACCTTCAGCATGCTGGTCTTCTGCAGTGTCTGGATTTCCTTCCTCCCCACCTATCTGAGCACTAAAGGAAAATACATGGTGGCCGTGCAGGTCTTCTCCATCTTGGCCTCCGGTGCTGGACTATTGAGCTGCATCTTCTTCCCCAAGTGCTACATTATCATCCTGAGACCAGATCTAAACACTAAGGAACATCTAATGGCAAAATCAGGGGAATGATTGTGAAATTGTTTCTTAGGCTGGTAACTTCTAATTATCCATTATTATTGGTTATAATTGGTTATAATAATCACAACTGTTATATCTTCTTCTCTGTCTTCAAGGATATTTGAAATCTTAAATAGTATTCTGCTTTCTCCATTTCTAAAACATGCACAGCACCTTCTAGGTTTTGATTTGCTTGTTCTAATTTTTCATTTTCTTACATTAGATTTATTTTCCATCTTCTGAATTCTTTGTTCATTTTTAACAATCATTTGCTGATGGGCTTCAAATTGTGTCTTTATAGCCAACATTTGTTTATTTAATTTATCAAAATTACTTTTTGTCTCTTCATGATTTCTCTGTATTGATTCTTGAATTAATTTTAATGTGGTTTGCATCTCAGTTTGAGCAGTGCTTATTTTCTCATGCTGCAACATTGTTTCAATAGATTCCTGGCTTGTTGGGTTAGATGTTCTGACAGAAGGTGCAGAGGAAGTTTATATCATAAGTCTAGTGAGATTTGATGTACTCATTTTTCGAGCCAACTATCTTAGGCTAAAATCCAAACCGTGAAAAGAGCCAACTACTTTAGGCTAGATACAAATTTTCTAGGAGAAAAAACAAGAGAAAAAAAAGAGAAAAAAGAAAAAAAAGCCAACTGTCTTAGGCTAAAATCCAACCATAAAATCAAGCCAACTACTTTAGGCTAAATCCAAATCCTCCAGTCAAATCACAAATATAAAACGCCCGCTGTATCCAAATAATTCCTGTTTTAGTTATATCCAGAGTCAACAGAAGTAATTTTAGAGAGTCTTTTCTCATGCACAGTCATATAAAGGCATTTTGTTTACACCAGGTGTTGTTTCAAGGTAAAACACTTTTCAAATTCTTTTATTATTTGGTGTTACTGTAGTATCTCCTTTTACCACTAGATGTCCTCATACACTCTATTGTCTATATCCGGTTTTAAAAGATTGTTAAAACGTTTTCTTTTAAAGTTCTCTGGAATTTATTTACCCTAGAAATTAAATCTAAAAAGATAGGTTAAGCAGTTTTTCTTTTAGTTGATCTAAATTCCATTTTTAAGTATTCTTTTATATTCCTTAAATTCCTTCCCCCTCTCATAATTGCTAGCCGCTTGTCAGAATCCAATTATATTTCATCTTTAATTATCAAATATAGAAACTCCCAATTCTGCCTTCTCTGGATTCTGCCATCAAAGGGAGAGAAGAGGGAGAACAAAGGGGCTTTATGGCCCTCACTTCCTTCAGTAGACTTCAAAGAGCTGAATGCTGAATGTGTGTTTATTGTAACAAAGAAGGGTATTTGCCTTTCATGTAGTTATCTGAAGTCTCCACCCAGACGGAAGAAAGAAGAAAGGGGGTGGAATTGTGATACTTGAAACTATCACTGGAAGGGGGGTTGATTGGGTGGGACTACTGGGGAACCCCTTAAATCTTGAATGGGAGAGCTTGAACCCCAAGTCCTGTCTAGCATGCCTGCAACCATTTTCTCTTAATAAAGGATTCCTGTTGGAAGAATTATTCCAAGAGTTCTGTCTTCTTAAGATGCAAAGTGGGGTGGGTCCTTACACCGCTTTTACCTCTCTTCTCCCCTAGTCCTTCTGGGGTCTTTACTTCGTAGATTTTTCCCAATCAGGGGATCAGAATTTCTGAGTCCTTAAGGAAAAGGAATAAAAAACAGGCTCACCTAGTTTCAGCATGCTGTTGACAATCAGCTGTTTGGTGGAGACTTGGTGGTGACTTGGGCTGCCTGTGCTTACCAGGCAGCCTTTCTTCCGTCCTTTAGAAAGCTTTCTTCAGTCCATCTGGACTGACCGTCTGGTCCACACTCCCGAAGCTTCCCTCCTTCTTTGTTGCCCCTCCAGAGCAACTTTCCGACTAAGGAGGGAGGAAGGGAGGTGGGTGGGTGCTGGGTGTGAATGGAGAGGGAGCCTCCCTGGCTTGTGATGGGCTCAAACCGGCTCCGATCCTGGAGAGACCACCAGCTCCAGCAACTTCCCAGCCACGGAAGAGGCTCTCCACAGGAAGCAGGAATAGGGGGTCTCCAAGGGGTCCCCTCCCTCTGGCAGGGCTTAAGGAGATTGAGGAGGGGGCCCTGCCCCTTCCCCTCCCTGGGATCTGCCCACCCTCCTCTCAAACTGGTTCTGGCTTCGGGCCTGTTTGGAATGTGGCTCAAGATCCCAAAACACACAAACTCACTTGGAATTCCAGCAACAAATTTTTATTTCAAAAGAAGCATTTGCAAAGACTTGGTGTGCTGAAACACACAGAGGAGTCCAGGCACACCTTAAAGAGCTGTTTCACACATTTTTATATCCTATCCCCAATGCAGATTCCCCCCTCCCCTATCACACTCAATGCCACTTCCCTAATCTCATCCGGATAAACTATCCGGTCCGCCTAAAACCACTGTCCCCCTCTCTATGTTCCAGGAAGCCCCTTTGTGCACATACTATCTATCACCATCTAATATTCTGTAAACAAAGCTCAATTCTTATAATGATCTCTACAGTTGTTTGTGGTTATACCTTTGCTGCCTTAAGCTCTAAACTTTATCCTCAGTTTTTGTGTTTCCTCTTCTTGGGGTTTCAGTTAGCTAGCAACCTCTGCTTTTCTTATTTGCCTGAATTTATGACTTTCAGGTGGCTTCTTCTATCCACCTTTAGATTCATTAGAAATTTCTCATTACTAATCTACTCCTTTCAGGCCTAAACTAGGCGGGATAGTCAATCCGGGGAGGGGGAGAGGAGAAGGGGGGACTCTCCTGAGGGGCAGGAAAGAGGAGGAGGAAGAGGAAGAAAGGAAAAATTCCTGCGTTTTCCTACAATCTAAATTTTATTCTTTTATTGCAAAGGGAAGGGAAGGGATTCGGAGGAAGAGTAATAATAATAATAATAATAATAATAATAATAATAATAATAATAATGATAATAATAATAATAATAATAGTAAAGTTGGAAGGGACCTTGGAGGTCATCTAGTCCAACCCCCTGCTCGGGCAGGAAACCCTACACCATTTCGGACAAATGGCTGTCCAGTCTCTTCTTAAAAACTTCCAGTGTTGGAGCATTTACTGCTTCTGGAGGCAAGCTGTTCCACTGATTAATTGTTCTCACTGTCAGGAAGTTTCTCCTTAGTTCTAGGTTGCTTCTCTCCTTGATTAGTTTCCACCCGTTGCTTCTTGTCCTGCCTTCAGGTGCTTTGGAAAATAGCTTAATTCCCTCTTCTTTATGGCAGCCCCTGAGATATTGGAATACTGCTATCATGTCCCCCCTTGTCCTTCTCTTCGTTAGACTAGACATACCCAATTCTAGCAACCGTTCCTTACATGTTTTAGCCTCCAGTCCCCTAATCATCTTTGAAGCTGCTGTGGGTTCAAAGCATAGTTGGATGTCTGGAGTGACAGGCAGGCCTGGAGTCCCTGAGGTCAGTCTAGATGGTCTCCCTCCCTTCCTCCCTCCCAAGAGAGGGAGGCCCTGAAAGGAAAGCCAGAGGGGTCTCAGCAGGAGAAGCTCCAGGCTGCCATTCTCCTCCTCTCCCCAATCTAAAATCTTGAGCCTCCATTTTTCAGACATTGCAAGAAAGACAGAAATTCATCAGCTACTGGGAAAAAAAAAACTTCCTTTCCCATCAGGAATCAGGAAGGACGGCAGGATTAATTCACAAGTGCTGAAGAAAAAGAGATGAGGAAGAAGATTAGAATATAAACCTTCAGGGTAAATAACATATTATTATTACAGCCTCCCCAGGAAGACCCACACTGCAGGGGGGTGGTTGATAGGCAGGGACAGGATGAGGGAGAATCCCCCCCCCTTTCAGGGAGGAAAAGGATGCAAAGGACCAGCAATTCACCTTCAGGGGCTGATGGAATTTTCTCTAATTGGCTTAATTAAGGAGTTAATCAAGATGAGGCCTCCCCCCCAGACGTTTCATATTAACAAAGAGGATGGGGCCAGGATGGGGGAGGGGTGGAAGCAAAGCTGGGTGTCGCTTTGCCAGAAATTGTGTGAAATGTCACAAGGAGACTTCCCTTCTCTTTTGCAATTTCCCAAAACCTGGAAATCTACTGGGCCAGATTTTAGTGTTTATGTGTGTGTGTGTTTGTTTTTCATTGCACTGTTTTCAGGTCTCTGTAATGAAAAGCTGCCCAAAATTTCAAAAATTTGTGTTATCCACAGCTAGGAGGTTTTGTTCGGGCACATTTTTCTTTTAAAGGAACAATTAACAAATGTTAAAGAAACATCTATAACTTGGGGAGAAACTCACCTGCAGGAGGCTGGATGGGAATTGCTGGAATGAGAAAAAGAGCCAATCAGAACCCTTCGTGGGCTGGAGGACTCAGGGGGTCCCCCTCCCCATCAATAGCCCATAATAGGTTGCATGATGCTCACTTATACAGTAGACCCTCAAAGAACAGAATTTCCCAAGCAAATCTCCAAGGGGGCCTCCTTGCCATCTGCTAAGCTTGCTGAGAGGCCTCCCCTGGATGGTCCCCTCCCCACAATCTCTCATCCAGCCCCCAGACTCACCTTTCTTGCTCTTCAGGTGGAGGGAGAGCCCCATGGCAAAGAAGATCACCCCGATCACGGCTGCCACGATCCCCGTCCAGAGTTTGCTCCTGGCCAAGTTGGAGGATCGGGGCTCTGGGGAAGGAGAAGGAGCCTCATTGAGCAGGCGGATCAGGGCCAGCTTCCCCCCCCCCAGGAGGGTCCATCCCAGCTTCCCCCACCGGAAAGGTCTCTCCCCCTTCTCAGGGCAGGAGGGGGGTCCCCAGAGGGGGAGGGAGGGGCTCACCCCACTGGACGGTGATCGGGGCCTCCAGGCTGGCATGCTCCACCTGGCAGGTGAAGACGTCCCCCCGCTGGGGCTGGGTCTCCAGCATCACCTGGAGCTGGTAGGTCCAGTCTCCGTTCTGGAACTCCTCCCCGAAGGCCACACCCTCCTCCTCCGGCTGCCCATTCTTCAGCCACCGGACCTCGATCTCCAGGGGGTAGAAGCCCCTCGCGGTGCAGAGGAGGATGGTGTTAGGGGAAGTGGGATCCAGCTTGGTGGGGGAGATGGAGACGGTGGGCTTGGCTGGAGGGGAGAAGGGGGAGGGGGAGAAGGGACATGGGGGGGAGACATAGGAGGGACCAGAACAGGAGACCAAGTTGGTTAGTTCAGGCCAAGAGCCCTTTTCAGTCCTGAAAATAGTATTTGTTTTAAGTCATTTCCAAAGCAAATTGCAGCAAGAAATTAAATGGGATCCTGAAAGATGGAAAAACATAAATCGTTCCTGGTTGAGATCAGTTTTCATCATCAAATTGCACAAGACCAACAGAAATAAATACTGGAAACGCCCCGGAACGGAAGGAATTTCCTGCCAGATTTGGGGGAGACAGAAAGAGACCCAGAAGACGGGGAAGACACACAGCATGTTTTGGAGAATTGCAGGGATCCCATTCAAGAGAAAATCACATTTTTAAAAAAATAGGTAGAATACCGGAACATTTATTTATTTATTAAATTTGTTTGCCACCATCTCATGATAAAATAACTAGGCAGCTTACAGCAGGGCTTTTCAACTGGTGGTATGTGTACCACCTGTGGTACATGAGCACATGACAGATGGTATGCTGCCCTGCCCAGCCAAGTGTAGTGGGGGAGGGAACGAGCCAGCACAGGCAAGGACTTACTGTGAGAGAGTCCTCTGGAGCTGCAGAGTGGCTGGGGCGAGGCAAAGTCCCCAGGCTCACTTCTGGTTCACCCCCTTCCCCCATGAGAAAGGGGCGCAGAGACAGGAGATGCTATAAAAGGAGGCAGTTTGGGTCGGGAGAAGGAGAGAGAGGAGGTGGAGTCAGCTCTAGCTGCACAGAATGGAAAGAAGGAGGAGGGTGGGGAGAGAGGAGAGGAGATCAAGCAGGCCGGCCACAAGTGGATCTGCAACTTCTGTGGCAGCCACCTGTGCTGGCAATAACCAAGAGGCAAGGAACATAGGGAGGAGGGGTTGCTCTCCACAAGGAATGAAGAAAGGCAGCAATGAAGAAAGGCTGGAGGTGAGGCAAGGAGGGAGATGGAGAGTGGAAGGATTCTTTTGTGTTTTTGTGACTTTGAAGTTCTGGGATTTGTGCAATGGGGGCTTTGTTTTCTTAAGGAGTGTTTGGCAATTTTTATTTGGCTGATGGCTGATGTCTCGTGTTAGCTTCTACTCCTCTGCTATTATTAGGTGTAAAATTTGCTGCAAGGGATTTTGAAGTATTTTTCTCCTGAATGGATTTTGCCTGTAGCAGTCCTTTACTTAGGAATGGAGCCATTTGGGGAGGCCATACTTACTACATTTTTTTTCTTTCTTTAGTGCGCTCTGGACTCCTTAACTTTCCTTTCTAACCAGTAGCTAATTCTTAAAGGGGAATGCGCCTTTTTAAGCTATTTCCCTCAATGGCTTGTCTTTTCTGTCTCTGGAGGCTTTTCCTTGTTCAATGAATACATGGAAGAAGGGAAATAGGGGGGTTCAAATTCTTCCTCCAGAAGGAGATGGGAATGAGAAAGAGGGAGGTAGGGAAGGAGGGAGGGAGGGAGGGAAGTCCCGCCTTAGCACTTGGTCACCTGTCAATGACTTTGCTTGTCAAAAGGTTGCCAAAAGGGATCACATGACCCTGGGACACTGTGACCATCATCAATATGAAATCCGTTGCCAAGCATCTAAATATAAATCACATGACCCTGGTCATGCTGCAATGGTTATAAGTGTGAAAAATGGTCATAAGTCATTTCAGTGGAATTGCAACTTTGAACAGGGTTTTTTTTTTTTTTGGTCATCAAGTGTTTGACACCTTGCTAGGTAGTACTCGAATATTGCCATATATCCTAAAAGTGGTACAGTTGGTGAAAAGGTTTAAAAGCCCTGGATTACAGCATTAAAACATTAAAATCCTAACATATAAATATTTCTATAGCAATCAAAATGGATTCAAGATAAAATTATACTTAAAAGATGGGGAGGAACAGGAGGTGTGTGGGGGGAGGGGGGATTGCCTCTTAATTCAACAACTACCTCCAGTGTGAGGCTCCCTATGAGGACCCCCTGATTTTGAGCCAGACTTCGCCTAATCTGTAGTTGAACCTTTGGTTTTTTCTGCCCATGTTTCCCTGCAGCCGTCCGGCCTCCCTCCCAGCCCCGTTTCCCCTGGGGAGGGAGGTGGGGAGGGGTCCGACCCTCCTGCCTGGGATGGGGGGGCAGGGAGGGGTCTAGGACAACTCAGCCAACTCAACGCAGCACAAAAGTTACACAATATGGAAGAAATGGAGAAAGAAAATCAGGAAAGGAAGGAGGCCGAGGGAGGAGGAAAATGAAATGTGAAGGACAAAAATTAAAAAAAAAATTTTTTTTAAATTATTTTAAATAATTTTTATAGAAGGACATATCCAACTGTTGGGTGGATTAATGGGGGGGGCCTGAGCCCCCCCCCAAGAGGGTCCTTCTTAGATCCACTCCAGATCAGAGAACTTTTGCTAACAACATTTTTCTTCTCCGTTGAGGGATTCTCTTATGAACAGCTCATTATATAAAGTTTAAGAACATGCAATTTTTAAAGGTTTGGTTATTTGTAATTTAGTCCTGGGATCTGGTCGGGATTTTTTTATGAACAGTTAATTATCCTCCTAGGTTTGCAGGGAAGAATTTGGAGAAAAAATGAATTCCAGACTGAATATGCGGAGAACAAAATCTTGTCGGTTCCCCTTAAATATTCCATAATTTCTGGAAGGAGCAGATGCCCAGCATCTCCCTGTAAAATGCCTTTTTCTCTTAGGATCTGGTGGTTTTTTTCTTGTGGAAGAAAGATCTTATTTAATTCTTTGGTAGAGTGTTATTTTGGGAGACCCTGGCAACAACAAATGGCAACAACTGCAGATGAAATACTTGTTTTGCATCACGAAACCTTATCAGTTGATAGAAATAAATAATAATAATATAAACAAATAAAACTAGAACAAGAAATGTAGGCAATTTGCCAGGAATCTGGAACAGGGAACTAAACAATCCGAGGCTTCAGGGCTGAACGAATGCCCGAAATTCACTTTTAATGTTTGTGAGGGTTTTTTGAATCTTTGCCCCCAAATGAGGAACCTTCCCAGATGTGAAGAGGGAAGCGATTCGGCTGCAGGTGAAGCTGAGTCTCTGACCAAAAAGGGGCTTTCAGGGGGGGCTTTTCTCCCACACCCCCAACATTGGATGAACAAATGACTCTGAATAAAGGATAAAAAGAACTGAAAGAGGGATAGGGCCCAGCAGACGAAAGAGCCTTCCCTGATTCCCTTGTCCAGACCTTTGGAAATTCACTTTTTATCCTAAAATCCCAAAGGCCCCAGAGGTGAAGGGAGCCCCTCCCCCACTCCTGGCCTTCCGGAAAGGGGGGAAAATGGGGCTCTGGGGCTTTGCTTGGGGGGCAGAGAGGAGGAGAGCCATGGGGCTGGTCAGCCTTCTGAAGCCCCCCTCCATTTTCATGAATTTTTATCACTGGATTTTAATCATTCCTGCCTTTTAAATCTTAAATTGTATAGACTATTTTGGTGGTTTTATATTTTATGTGTACACCATGCAAAGTCCCTCTGTGGGAGAGAGAGATGGTTTTAAAAGTTGATAAGTAAATCAATAAATATTATTTAATAAAAATATTATATTGAAATATTATATAGCATAGAGTATAGATTATTATTGAAATATAGTCATATACTGGGAAAAAGAGAGACGTTGCCGGATTCCTCCCCCCCCCCCGAAAAATATAATATTTGGTATAATATTCTGGAAAGAAGTTTTTCTGGGCAGGGGAAACTTTGGACCTTGGGAAGAGAAGGAAGATGATGGGAGGGATGGGAAGGAGAGGAATCTATTTCTTCCCTTCGGCATGTTCGATTGTCATTGTTGTAGAATTTCAGACTTTTTAAAGATAATTTATTTTTTAACCTTATTTTATATACACTTTTATTTAGGGGAGATGTTATATCGTGCACCATCCAGATCACCTCTTTGAGGAAGGGGGGCGATTTAGGAGTATCAATAAATAGCAATAAATACCAATGAGTAAATTTGATAGATCGGAAAGCAGAAAACACATAAGGGGAAATCTTTCTCCGGGAGAGTCCTAAGAAATGAAAGGAAAAGGGGGGGAGTCCCTGCATTCCCCCCCCCATGGAACTCCCCCTCCCCCACTCACCTCTCCGGCCAATCAGACGCTCCTCCCTCTTGGCCACCTCGTAGTTGTACACCCCGTAGTTGTGTCGGCAGAAGCGATCCACGGAGGCCTTCCAGTACTGCAGGAGGACTTTATCGCTGTTCCACTGGTTCACATCGGGCTGCCCCAACGGAGTGACAGCCACGTATTTCCCGAGGTCGCTGTCGAAGCGGGCGAATTCCTGCCGGTCGTAGAAGTACCTGTTCAGGAACCGCACCCGCCGCGTCCCGTTGGAGAAGAAGCACTCGTTCTTCGTCTGGTGCAGGAAATGGGCTGCAGGGGCGGGGTGGAGCAGACAGACGAAAGCCCTCAGGAGGGACTCCAGGGCCCATGGTTCCCAGTGGCTCATAGACAAGCGGCGGAGCGACGGGAAGGCGGAGGGGTGGGAGACCTGCTGCGAGGGACTGCCGGAAGGCGCCCCCTGGAGGAGGGATGGGGAACCCTCGGTCCCAGTGGGATTCCCCCTTGGTGGGGGTCTGGAAGGGGGGAGGAAAATGAGAGAGGGGGAAAGAGGGACCCCCCATCTCCCCAGGTAGAAAAAGGCAGGCAGAAGTTCAACTGGTCCAGGCCTCCGTCTGTCTGCAGGGAACGCTGGATCACCCCCCAAAGTGGCAGGAAATATGGGGGGAGGGAAGAGACCCCCCCCGGGCTGGAGGGGAAATAATATCCAAGCTTCTCTCTCCCTCTCCCTTTTGGGAGCAGAAGGGGCGGGGGTCACAGTAAGGATACCCACACCCATGCTCCTGGGCTCTCCCCACCCTTCAAGCCCCCCCTTTTCCCCCTCTGCCCCATCTTCAGCCCCACAAGCTGCCTTTGGGTGCTTTTCCAGGCCTCTTTTCTGTCCCCCTCCCCCCTGCAGCCCCCAAGACCACCTCAGAGGGAGGGGCTCCAGCCCCCCTCACTAAAGGGGGAGTTTGGAGGAGCATCTCAGACCCCCCCCCATATCCCTCCCAATAGAGGCGGAGAAGGCGAGGGAGGGGAAGATTTTCAGTCTTGGGGGCTGCAGCTTTAGAGGGGTGTCCAGGGGGGGGGGGTTGTGGACTTCCTTTTTCACCCCCTCCCATGAATCTGAACCACAGTCCCCCTTTCTCTTTCTGCCTGGAGGGGTGGACTAGATGCCCCTTTAAGCTCCCTTAAGACCCCCCCATGAGGAGTCCAGGCTGGGTCTGCTGAGACTTTGGAAGGGCTGGGGTCTCTCCGGAGACCCTCCCTCCCCCTGGTCTCGTTTAGCCCAAAGGGGCTTTTCCAAAAGGCAGCTGGACTTTCCTGGTTCTTCCCTTGAAGACGTTTCGCTTCTTATCCCAGAAGCTTCTTCAGTTCTGACCGAAGGGTGGAGGGTGGAAGGACGGATATTCCTTGCTGTCATTTTGAAAGCCGGTTGCTGGTTCTCTGAGGGGCCTTGAGGACCCCCAGGGGTTTATCTGGGCCTTCAGAGTCCCCTGAATTGGGGGGCAAAGGGGTGGGAGCCTTCCTGGGGCTGCTGAAAGGACCCCATTGTAGGCAGGAGATGGGAGGTCCTTCCCTCCCCCCACTCTGTTGAGGGGGGCGGCTCAAGTTTGACCTAGATGGTTTGGGGGTCTGGGGATCATGGGGAGAAGAGAACCCACAAATTCCCTAGTTACCCCAAAATTTTCTTTCCCATCAACTTCACCCCTACTGGCTGCCTTTACGTGATTTGGGGATTAAGCCCTCTTTTCTGTCACCCTGCAGCCCCCCAAGACCATCTCAAAGGGAGGGTCTCCAGCCCCCTTCACTAAAGGGATAGAGTAGCCAATTTAGGGGAGCAATTCAGACTCCCCCCATATCCTTCTCCCTCAGTTCTCGCCTCCCCTCCAGGTCCCGATTCAACAATGGGGGAATATGGGGTGGGGGGTTCTGGGTCTCCTCCCCAAATTCAGAGTCTCCTCCAAGAAGGAATCCAGCTCAACTCTCCCCTCCCCTTAAAAAAATGGAGATTCAGAAGAAAAACTGAGGTTGCAAAAACACTTTTGCCAAAAAGAGTCTTTTTTCTTATACTTTTGGTGGCTTCTCTGGATTCAACTCTGAAAATGCCTCAGTTTCCCTCTTTCACTTTCGCTTCCCGTCTCCTTCCTCGTTCAGTGCAAGAAACTTCGGGCTCAGGCGCTAATTCGGGGTTCGCAAGGTCTCCCTCCCACCCACCCACGGGGGGTGGGTGGAAAGGGGGTCCAGATGCCTCTTAACCCATCTCAGCTGCCTTCTCACGACCCTCGCCCACCTCGGCCATAATTAGGGAACGGGGGCTCCCTCTTCGTCCTGCGGGGGGAAATGCGGCGAGGGAGGGAGACCACGCGGAGATCGAGGCATCTGCAGTCTCCCGCCTCTCTTACCTTCGACCTCTTTCCCTACTTCAGGGGTCTCAGCCCCTTTCTCTCCCCCCCCCAAGAGCACTGATGGCCCCTCCCAGCCCCTCCCTGAGCCCCCTCCTTACCGGGCGTCTCCTTCCCCCTTTCGCTTCCGGGGATCCGGGCCAGCGCCCCCGCCAGCAACAGAAGAGGGACCCCAACGGAGCCCATGGACGCCGCCCCACCAGCGCCCCCAGAGAGTGGGGAGAGAGACGCGGAGGCTCCCAGCCCCAGAGGCAGAATCGGGGGGTCTGGCTTGGGGGGAGGAAGCGGTTTCCTCGAACTTCGTCATTGGGAGGGCCCAGAAAAGCGGAAGGACCAATGGGAATTCTCCCTTCTGCATCATCATCGGTCTCCGGGCAGAGCCTCCCTTGAGTTCATCCACAGGAGGAGATAGTGCGAAGCCGAGAGAGAAGCGGAGAAAGTTGGAGGGGGGGGGGGGGAGAATCCCTTCAGTCTGGGTGGGAGGGCTGCATTTTAGGGGGGCGTTTGATGCCAGCTCCGGAGAGGGGAGGAAGCGGCACTCGCACGTCCCCTGGTACAGGAAAGGGACTGTGGGGAGGAGGAGGAGGAGGATGAAGAAGAGGGTCAGGAGGGACTCCAGGGCCCATGGTTCCCAGCCTCTCCTAGAAGAGGGTCACAGGAGGGACACAGGAGGGAAACCTGCCGCAAGAGGCTACCGGAAGGCGCCCCCTGGAGGATAGATGGGGAACCGTAGGTCCCAGCGAGATTCCCCCTTAGTGGGGGTCGTGGGAGGGGAGGAAAACGAGGGAGGGGAGGAGCTTAGTGAGGGACCTCCTCCATCTTCCCAGGGTGGAAAAAGACAGGCAGAAGTTCAGCTGGTCCAACATTCGGCCTGTCTGCAGGGAGCGTTGGATCCCGGTGGGGCCTCTTTGCCATCCCAAACTGGCAGGAAATATGGGGGGAGAGAAGAGACCCCATCTGGGCTGGAAGGGAAAATAATATCCATGCTTCTCTCTCCCTCTCCCTTTCGGGGGCATAAGGGGCGGAGGTCACAATCAGGATACCCACACCCATGCTCCTGGGCTCTCCCCGCCCTTCAAGCTCCCCCTTCCCTTTTCCTCTTCCCCCCTCGCCCCCATCTTCAGCCCCACAAGCTGCCTTTGGGTGATTTTCGAGGCCTCTTTCCTGTCCCCTCCCCCAAAGACCCCCCTGCAGCCCCCAAGATAGTCTCAAAGGGAGGGGCTCCAGCCCCCTTCACTAAAGGGACAGTTTTGGGAAGCCAATTTAGGGGAGCAATTCAGATCCCCCCCAATATCCTTCTCCCTCAGTTCCCCCCTCCCCTCCAAGTCCGGATTCAGCAATGGGGGAATATGGGGTGGGGGGGTCTGGGTCTCCTCCCCAAATTCAGAGTCTCCCCCAAGAAGGAATCCAGCTCAACTCTCCCCTCCCCTTAAAAAAAATGGAGATTCAGAAGAAAAACTGAGGTTGCAAAAACACTTGCCAAAAAGAGTCTTTTTTCTTATACTCTTTGCTGGCTTTTGTGGATTCAGCTCTGAAAATGCCTCAGTTTCCCTCTTTCACTTTCGCTTCCCGTTTCCTTTCTCTTTCATTGCAAGAAACTTTGGGGTCAAAGTTTTCCTTTTGCGCCCCCCCCCATGATTCTCAACCAGAGCCTCCTTTTCTCTGGGTGTCTGGAGGGGTGGACTAGATGCCCTTTCAGTTCCCAGAGGGAGCCTAGAGCAAAGTGGAGCCAGAGCTTGAAGGCTCCTCCTGGGCTCGCCTGCTCAGTTTGGGGGCAGGAAGCCCCCCCCCAGGTCTGGACCATGTGGGGGGAGGAACTGCGGGGACACACACACACACACACACACACACACACACAAAGACTCCCAAACTCCTCAGGCAACCGATACCAGATGTTATATCAGAACCACATCCTCCACAAATCCTGGAGCACCGGGGAAGAACCGAGGATTGGAAAAGGGCTGATGTGGTTCCCATCTTCAAGAAAGGGGGAAAAAAAAAACCAGACCCAGGAAACTGCAGACCAATCAGTTTAACCTCCATATCTGGGAAGATTCCAGAAAAGATAATCAAAAAAGAGATCTGCGAACAACTGGAAGCAAACAAAGTCATAACCGGGAGCCAGCACGGGTGGGTGGAAAACAGATCATGCCAGGCCAATCTCATCCCATTCTTTGATCAGGTGACTAAATCAGTAGACCAGCAGAACGCAGTGGACGTCGCATGCCTAGATTTCAGTAAGGCTTTTGACAAAGTAGACCACAAGCTGCTCCTTGCTAAACTAGGAAAAGGTGGGATAAACAACATCACCCCCAGATGGATCTGTATGTGGCTGACAAGCCTACTCAACGAGTAGCCCCCAATGGCGCCACATCCACATGGAGAGAAGTAAGCAGTGGGGCACCACAAGGCTCCGTCTCTTCTCTTCTCTTCTCTTCTCACTTTAAATGTATTGGCTATAGCTTGCAATGTATCATTCTTCCGCTGCAAAAGTATCCGCCTAAGGAGAAAGTTCTGGGCTGCTTGCCAGCAGTTGTGTATTCGAAGCGTAGCCTGTGACAAGCTGTAACTGAGCTAACCTGATAGATAAAGAAAACACGTATTGAAACAAACAACAACAAAAAAGGAATCTTTTAGCCTGTTAGCCTGAGAAAGTGCCTTAGCTATAAAAGTGAAAAAAAAAGATAATGTGTGTGCCTTTTCTCCTCTGTCTCGCTGTGCGTGTGACAAGAGATTGAGACATCGGGCTCTTCTTTGATCAAACCATAAAGCTGTTTTCTTTTCCGTAGCCTCGTATTCAGAGTCTCTCGGAGATTTGTCTGGATTCTGAGCTGAAAAGCCTCAGGGAATAAAGGGCTGTGACCAGGGCGATTGGGGCTTCCATTGTTCTTCATGCCTTTTATGATTAATTTGATCAGGAGCGTTTTAGCCTAAAAATAGTCAATGTGTTGGCTAATGCATTTGAATTTTTTAATAAAGTGGTAGCAGACCAGCGAAATGCTGTGGACGTGGTAGACTTAGACTTCAGTAAGACCTTTGACAAGGTAGACCACAAAACCATTCCATTCCATGTTCTGTTCTGTTCTGTTCCCATTCCATTCCATTCCATTGTTCTGTTCCGTTCCATATTTTATTTTGTTCTGTTCTGTTCTGTTCCGTTTCATTCCATTCCCTATTCTATCTGTTCTGTTCCATTTCGGTCCGTTCCCTATAAACTGACCCCAGGGACTCTGGGCCTGCCTGTCAGTCCAGAAGCCCAAATCTCTTCCGGCTTTGAACCCACAGCAGCTTCATCTCCACTACTATTCCTCTGAATCCCTTCCCTTCACTGTAAAAGAATAAAATTTAAATGGTAGAAAAACCTGGTGTTCCTCCCTCCCTTCCTTCCTCTTCCGCCTTTTTCTTACCTCTGCAAGAGGACCCTCCCTTCTCTCCTCCCCTCCCCCTCCCCGGATTGAGGCCTCCCCTGCCTCCATATTGACCAACCGGGCTAGTTTAGGTCCGAAGCCAGAACCGGTTCGGGAGGAGGGTGGGCAGATCCCAGGGAGGGGAAGGGGCAGGACCCCCTCCTCCTCAATCTCCCCAAGCCCTGCCAGAGGGAGGGGACCCCTGGGAGACCCCCTATTCCTGCTTCCCCCGGAGAGCCTCTTCCGTGGCTGGGAAGCTGCTGGAGCTGGAGGTTCTCCTGGCTTCATCCGGGCCTCTTTCTCCAGGATCGGAGCCCGTTTGAGCCCCTCAGAAGCCAGAGAGGCTCCTGCCCCATTCGCACCCAGCGCCCCCCTCCTTGGGGTCCTGATCCCCTCGCCTTCCTGCCCTCCAGAGGAACTCCCTCCCCCCGTCCATCTCCGCCTCCCCCCCCAAACAAAGGGTGCCAGGGCCGGGGAGGGCGGAGAGCAGGGCGGCCTCCCTGGGGATGGAGGGGAGGGGTCCCTCCTGGCAGCCCAGGATCGTCCTCGCTTTGTCTGCCGGTGGGTGAAGTCACAAAGGACTCTGCCCGGAGACCGATGACGCTGCAGAAGGGGGAATTCCCATTGGTTCCGCCCCTTCTTCAGGGCACTTCCAGTTCTGAAGTCCGAGGAAAACGCCTCCCCCGCCCCCACTCCAGATCCCCCCCCCGATTCCGCCTCTGGGGCTGGGGGTGTCCCTGAGCTCTGCTGGGGTCTCCCTGCTGCTGTTGGGGGAGGGCGCTGGGCGAGATCCCGGGAAGCGAAGGGGGGAAGGAGGGGCTGGGCGGGCGGGGGAAAGGGCTGGGAGGGGCCCCCAGTACTCCTGGGGGGAGGGGGGAGAAAGAGGCTGGGCGGGAGGAGGTGAGGGGCTCGGAGGGACCCTCAGTTCTCCTGGGGTGGGGAGGGGGAGGGAAGAAAGGGGACCCCAGACGTGACTTTGGGAAAGGGGTCGAGGGCAAGAGAGACTGCGGGAGCCTCCCTCCCTCCCCACATTCCCCCCCCCAGGAGGACGGGGAGAGAGAGAGAGACCCCTCCCTTTGATGGTTATGGACGAGGTGGGGAGGGGCCGCGGAAAGGCAGAAACAGCGCCGTTTGGAGGTTAGGCAGGAATCGGGGGCTGGTCCAGTTCATATATGCAGGGGGGACAGTTTTATTTTATTTATTTTTTATGTCACAGTTTATACCTCTTCAATTCCCACGGAGTTCAGTAAAGAGGAAGGAAGGAAGGAAGGAAGGAAGGAAGGAAGGAAGGAAGGAAGGAAGGAAGGAAGGAAGGAAGGAAGGAAGGAGATGGGAATGAGGAAGGAAGGAAAGGATATGGAAATCAGAGGAAGGAAGAAAGTAAGGAAGGAAGGAAGGAAGGAAGGAAGGAAGGAAGGAAGGAGCGATTCTTGAACCAAAACTGACCTATTTGCGGTGGGTCAGAAAACCCCACAGCGCTGGGGGCAAAACCTCCCCTCCAGCAGCCCCTTTGCCAGGAAGGGCCCCAAAGGCAGAAGCTTCCCAGGACCCTGCATGAGTGTGTGTGTGTGTGTGTGTGTGTGTGTGTGTGTGTGTGTGTGTGTGTGTGAAGGCGCCCAAGGACTCCCCAGTCAGCTGCCTAAGAGACCCCCCTCCAAGTCCTCGCTGGCTGTGGGGCTGCTCCTCCCCTTTTTTCATCCACTGTAGCCCCCCCCATAGAATCCGGGGGGGGGGAGGGCAAAGGGAAGTCCATCCTCCGCTCCGGGGTTGTCGTGAAATACCCTCTTGAGCTGCACTTCTTCAGCAGAAACAACCAAGGTTCCTCTGTGTGTTTGTGTGTTTGTGTGTGTGGGGGGGGTGTTGAGGGCTGGGGTGGCAGGAGGAACTCAGAGAAAATCAAAATCTTGCTGGGGAAACAGGAAAAGAGTCCAGGAGTTCTGCTTTGATCAGGCGAGCGATGGACCCCTCCCCCCCCAGACGCTGCCTGGATCTGGGACCCACTTTGGGCGACTGGCTGGATGTACACAACTGTGGTGCAGCCTCCTTCAGCTGCGGGGGGGGGACCCGGCTCTGGCCTGCCAGGCTGTGCTGGGCCAGGGGGGAGTCTGACCCTTCCAGTCCCCCCCCCCGTTCCTTTGGAAGGATTCAGGCCCCCTCTGGACCCCCAAAGCTGTTTTGAACAGAATCGGGAATGGAGGATCGGCCTGACCAGCCTTTGCGGAACTGACCACAACCCGAATGTCCTAGAAAAAGTGGTTTCCATGGATGTAGCGAAACATTAAAAAAAGAATGTCTGGTTTTTTGGATAGTTTGTGGGGGGAGGTTTTTGGACATTAATGGTTAAGGTTGTAATCCTATAATTGAGGATAAACGATTATTGAAGTCCACAGTATTTCTACTAATTTTCCGGGTTATTTTATAAATTATAAATTTATTCTTTGGTTTAATATGCTGTCCATGCATCCATCCGTCCATCCATCCATCCTTCTTAAAATAGTATTGAGATCTTTCACAAGGGAGAAAACCTGCTCGGATCCTCTTATTTTTTTATTATTTATTTATTTTAAATTTTTATTTTATTTTATTTTATTTTGAAAATGTCATTTTATTTATTAAACATATTTATGTACCCACCCGCTCGGATCCTCTTACACATCCCGTCCATGGATATGGATTTTTTTTTTCCTTCTTCGGGCAAAATATCCCCTCCCACTCCCACCCAGAGGAACGGAGCCAACCTCAAGAGGGTCGATTCTGGGGAGGGGGTCCCAGGGCTGATTCCCCCCCCATAAAATCCCCCCCCCCTTCTCCGCTTCTCCGCTTCTCCCTCTGCGCCCAACTCTCTCCTCCATCGGGTGAAGTCAAGGGAGACTCTGCCCGGAGATTGATGACGCGGCGGAAGGGAGAATTCCGATTGGTCCTCCTGCTTCTTCTGGGCCCTCCCAGTTCCGAAGTTCGAGGGAAACGCCCCCTCGCCCCCCACGCCAGACCCCCCGATTCCGCCTCTGGGGCTGGGAGCCTCCGCGTCTCTGTCTCTGGTCTCTCTGGGGCGCTTGTGCGGCGGCGTCCATGGGCTCCGCTGGGCTCCCCCTGGTGCTGCTGCTGCTGCTGGCGGGGGCGCTGGCCCGGATCCCCGGAAGCGAAGGGGGGAAGGAGACCCCCGGTAAGGAGGGGGCTCAGAGGGGGGAGGAGAGGGGCTGGGGGAGGAGGGGGCTGGGAAGCACCGCCGAGACTCGTGGGGGGAGAGGGGGAAGAAAGCTGCTAGCTCTTCAGAGGGTAAGAGTGACGGGAGCCGGCGACAGCCTCGATCTCTGCGTGGTCTCCTCCCCCTTCCCTCCCCACTTCCCCCCCAGGAGGGCGGAGAGGGACCCCCTCTTTCCCGATTGCAGCAGAGGTGGGGAGTCGCAGCCGGGCCCCTCTATCGCCCCCCCCTCCAAAATGGCCGGGTCGGAGTCGGAGCCACTGCGTGGAAAGAGGGAGGGGAGGGAAAGCGAAAGAGGGAAACTGAGGCATTTTCAGACCTGAATCCACACAAGGAAAAAGCTGCATTTTGGCCAAAGTATTTTTCCTTCTTCAAAGACTTCAAGTTTTCTTCCCAAATCTCAAATTTGAGGCTTTCAAAGTCAGGCCGGAGTTGAGCTTCGGTCCCTTCCGGGGGAGGCTCCGAATTTGGGGAGGAGGCCGAGAAACCCCCACCCCATAATCCCCCGTTGCTCTATCGGGACCTGGAGGGAGGGGGGAAGCGAGAGAGGAGCATTTGGGGGGCTCTGAATTGCTCCCCTATGGCTCCCCAAAACAATCCCTATCGTGAGGGGGGCTGGAGACCCTTTGAGATGCTCTGGGGGGGCTGCAGGGGGGCTTTTGGGGGAGGGGGAGAGGAAACAAGTCTGAATCTCGAAAATCATCCCAAGGCAGGGAGTTGGGCTGAAGGTTGGGCAGAGGGTCTCCAACAGAGAGAGTCCTGGGCGAGTCTCACGTGTGACCCCCAACCGAAGCTCATCTGAGACCCCTCCCCTCAGAAAAGGCCCGGAGTGGTCCTGTGGCCAACGGCCTTGATCTCTGGGAAGGTCGCCCTGATGTCCATCTCCCTGGTCTGAGGGCTCCTGGGCAGGGGGTGTTGGGAAGGGTCTCTTCCCCAGGGCCTCTTGGGGCCAGAGCAGAAAGTCCAGCCGAAGCCATTCCTGGTGTAGGAGACATTTGCCATCAGGGGGGAGGGAGGGAGGGAGAGCAGCTCTGCGGGAGAGAGGAAAGATCAAGGGGGCAACTCTGAGTGGAAGACCCCTCCCTTCTCCCCAGCACCCCTAGATGCCCCTAGATAGCTCTCCCACTGAGCCTTGCCCCCTCCAGAAGCCATCCAGGCTGCTTCTGCAGGATTCCTATGGCTTCGATCTCCAAGGGCTGATTTTGTCTCCCTCCCATTCCTCATCTGGGGCACATAAAGACTAGGTCGGTGGAGGAACAGTCTCAAAACCTTACAACACAATGCCTCTCTTCACAATATTATGAGATCGTTCTGCAGTCAACATCACCTTAGATGCAAACTAAATACGGCTACCCCATATTTTCCTGGAACATAATTATGGGCTGCCACCTGGGGGAACTCGGGGAAGTATGTGTTGATGTACAGGAGCAACAGGCTTAGTTCCTTGCATCATCAGGGAGAGCCAGCAGGTGTAGGAATTTCTCACTCTTCCGTTGGACTCTTTCACTCAGCTGAATAAGAAGGGCTGGAGAAGAGAGGAGAACATTGCAGGGTTTACTAGACCCAAACCTCCTTTCTTCTCCTGCCAGTGATAGAACTGGAGTTAGAAAGGGCTCTTTGCCTTGAGGGGGAGCCCCTTTCTGAGGACTCCCCCCTGCCCACCTTGCCCTCACAGGCAGTGAGTATTAGAGGGTCAGTGAGGCTACACATGGCAAAACTAGCCAATCTGAAAAGAAAGTCAATTATTAGTAATTTAGGTCTTTGCCCAAGAACCGCAGGGAGCAGACAGAGGCTAGCTGTATTTCTGAAAGTGCACTGAAGTCTAGAAATAATGTTGAGCTCCTGGTGTTACCCCAGAAACGGCCAATTATCTTGTGTAATGAGTACCGTATGTGCCGAGAGGGAAGTGGGGACAAACTGACATATTGTTTAACAATAAAGTGTCAAGCTGTGAAGATCCCTTGCTTTAGAACTGCCATGATGCTTCTGGCTGATTTCTGTGTTACATGTACCCTGCCTGTGTTGTAAAAAATGCTGCATTAAAAGGTTAATAAAGAATGGATATATGTTAGACCTACTTTGGTAATTACTATTTGTATTTTAATAATTATTTTCAGTGACGTCTGATTCATAGTTGAGATTTTAACATTTTATTCGATGATTTATGCCACAGGTTAAATATTTACATCCCCTTATAAATTTAGACATTGCAATAAAAGAGAAGTAGAAAGTGTGTGAATGAAAGTTGAGAGGGGGGAGGAATTGAATAGGTTCAGGCTTGTATGGATACTGGTTGTGCAAATTATGTTTTCACCTGTGTACGTTGTTAGATCACACCCTTTTATTAGCATAGGTGTAATAGTGTCCACAATAGTATCCCTCACATGTTGGCTGTGTTTGTTTGCCTGCATCAGGTCCTATGTGACTCACCTCAGATAATGTGGTTTTATTGTGTAGTCTATCTATTTGTTTAGATGGTATCTAATCAATTTCATAACATCTGTTGGTCTGTCTGTTTAACAAAAAGATTGGGCCAGGAAAGTATCCTCTCTCTCTTGCGGATTTCCTATTGCTGCATCTTCATTTCCTTTATCAAGATCCAGGCTGTGCTGATATTAAGTCACTCTTATTCTCAGTTGTATCCAAGGCTATTTCACTTGAGAAAAAATAACCTTAAGAATTTTTTTCCTGCTCCTTTCCAAGATCTTAGTGAATAGCTTCAATCTGATTTTATACTATTTCTGCCGAAGAAACTACATTAGCCGGAAGACATCGGTGGCAAAGTAATCGCAAAGCAATAAATAAATAAACCGAAAGGGAAGAATGAGACTGTGTGAAATTATAGCATAATATGTGGTTGAAGAGCAGGCAACACCTCCCTCCCTCCCTCCCCCTCCCTCCCTCTCTCTCCCCCTCCCTCCCCCTCCCCTCTCTCCCTCCCTCTCTCTCCCCCTCTCTCCCTCCTTCCCTCCCCCTCCCTCTCTCTCCCCCTCCCTCCCTCTCTTTCTTTCCCTCCCTCCCTCCCTCTCTCTCCCCCTCCCTCCCCCTCCCCTCCCCCTCCCTCTCTCTCTCTCTCCCTCCCTCCCCTTCCCTCCCTCTCTCTCCCTCCCCTCCCCCCTCCGTCCCCCTCCCTCTCTCTCCCCCTCCCTCCCTCTCCCTCCCTCTCCCTGCCTCCCCCCCTCTCTCCACAAATGTTTTAGAGTTTGATGGGTAGCAATTTTATTTAGATAAAGAAAGATAAAGCGATAGCAGGCGGCAATCTCAGGTCCTTGGCCATATCTTGAAGATATGCATGGTCCTAGATGGAGATGGCATTATTTTCCAATTTTGCTATACAAATGAGAAAAAAATAATAAGTTGATCAAAGTGAGTTTAAAGTAAATTCTTTGCTTTGCAAAGCTTTCTGAATGCAAACAATATCAGGCAGAGAATCTCATTATGTACTGTATCTGTAGTATCTCTATTAGAGGAGAGTTTTCTTACCGTTCACAGCACTTGTGTTCCCGCCCACAGTCCAGCTGCCCAAGATTAAAATGTCCACGAGGACATAGTTTGTCAAAGCAGTGTCCTCCTCGAGAAAAACACTGTCCTTGGGCATTCCCTATGAAAAGAAAAAGAGGAGACAGGTAAACGATGAGTAAAGATTCCTTAATATTTAAATATATTTTTTCTTCCAAGACACTACCTCCTTCTACAGAACTGCAGGATTCCTTTATCCATTTATATTTTTATTCATTTATAACATAAAAATATGAAAATAAAAAGCAAATAGTAAGGAACAACCACAGGGAAAGAGGAAATGTGGAAAGTGGGGGGAAGAAACAAAAGGCGTTGACTTCCGATTCCCTGTTGCAATAAAATAAGGCATGAAAATCGAATCTCAGCTTTTTTCATTTCTGTATTAGTATGAACTAGCCATTTCTCTATCAACAAATCAGTCTAATCAGTAAACCCCAAAATCATAGTATCATTTTTTTCCACCTCAAGCACAAAGGCCAGAAGCAGTTTCCAAGTAGAAACAATAGTACTTTTATTCTTTTCTTTTATCAAAACTGTCAGTTTAGCCAAATTCACTCAGTCAGCTTTCAGGCCCAAGGTGGGACTAGAACTCAGTACCCAGAGTTGTCGTGTTTTGCTCTAATCACTAGACCAAATTGTTTCTCCATTGTGCCTCCTTATTCAAACAAAACATATTTGGCTGAGAATTGGGTAAACCAATACTAAAGTGAAGCCTACCAAAAAAAAAATAAGCTACAATAACAAAACCCCCAATAAAGTTATTTCAAGAATTGTGAATCAAAAGAAAAATCAGTGGCATATTTATCTTTATCAAGTTCCAGGCTGTGCTGATATTAAGTCATCAGACAAAGTCATTCTTATTCTAAGTTGTATTTAAATGGTATTCAAAATGGTATTGAACTTGAGAAAAAATAATCTTAAGAATTTTTTTTCTGCTTCTTTCCAAGATCTTAGTGAAAAGCTTAAATCTGATTTTATACTATTTCTGCCCAAGCAACTACATTAGCTGGAAGACATCAGTGGCAAAGTAATCACTACAATAAATAAATAAACCCAAAGGGAAGAATGAGACTGTGTGAAATTATAGAATTATAGCACAAATTATAGCTAATTATAGCACAAAGTCCAGAAGCAGTATCCAAGTACAAACAAAAGTACTTATATTCTTTTCTTTTATCAAAACTGTCAGTTTAGCCATCTCTGCTAACTCCATCAGCTTTTGTAACTATTCATCCAAGATGGGAATGGAAGCATCCTTCCAACAATTGCAGGATTCCTAGGACCACAGCAAGATTTCTCTGACCACACAGATCCATCTCTGCTGATCTCCTGCAGCACCTCAAATAAATCAGCCCTTAACCCAGGTTTGAAGTCTGACTCAAAGATGAATTAGCTGGTAAGCCTACATCTATTAATGTAGGAGGGAAGAAATAATTCTATCTCATATGAAGGATAGATCTTACTGTGATATATTTCTCTCCAGTATTGCCAAGGATCCTTGCTGAGTTACAGTGGCCAGTTGCATTGTGTGTTTTGGATGAAGACCTTGAGTGAGCTGAGAATTTTGTAAACCAATGTTAAAGTGAAGTAAATCAACAAAAATAAGCTACATTAACAAAACCCCCAATAAACATCTTTCAAGAATTGTGAATCAAAAGAAAAATCAATGGCATATTTTTTAAATATTTGGAGGCTCATGTTGTCAATAGTCTATACTGTTCAAAGCTATTTCTGTAAAGTAAAACAAAAAGATGTTGAAGATTATCCTACTTTCAGTGATGATCGTATTTGTTTAAAAAGGAGTGAGTTACCAATCCTTTGTAAATTATCAGTAATTTTGTTTCTTACCTGGTTCAGACAGGAATGCAAGGAAAAGAAATGTGAACAGCAGATAAAGGATCTTCATGCTGAGACTGGTTCTGGACCAAATCTTACTCCTGGGACAGACATGGCTCTCTATTTATGGAGTTGTAATGATTGCATCATATCACCTCAGTGAACTGTTGCAATTTAGTTCTTACCTAAGGCAACGGTGCATCTTCCTTGTATTGAAACACTCCTATTTGTTAGCTGTTACAAAAGCCCTGAGAAGAGCAGCAGACTTAGTTGAACATCTAACCTGCTATGGCTATAAAAGATGGGAGGCTCAGGACTTGCAGTGTCCGAATGGGTCAAAGAAAATTCCTTACTGAATTGCTGCCCAAAATCTACAGTCCATGATGATAATGCTCGGCCATGTTCACCAATGGATGGACTTTGGGAAGAGCCCTTAGAAGTAAGTGATGGAAATCTGGGGTTGGCACTGCTATCATGGGCGACACATTTTTATGGGTGGGTTTTGGGAAAACAGCTGCTCTGCTTCCTGGTGGGTCTTTGTGGCACTCAGATGAAGCACAGACTGATTTGGCTTTCGTTGAAGTATTCCTCCCTCATCCAGGAGATTTCTATTTCTCTGAAGACAGAGAATATATGCAGAGTTGGAAATATCCCTGATGTCTTAGTTGAGGGTTAATAATAATAATAATGATGAAGTTGGAAGGGACCTTGGAGGTCATTTAGTCCAACCCCCTGCTCAGGTAGGAAACCCTATACCATTTCGGACAAATGGCTGTCCAGTCTCTTCTTAAAAACTTCCAGTGTTGGAGCATTTACCGCTTCTGAAGACAGGTTGTTTCACTGGTTAATTGTTCTCACTGTCAGAAAGTTTCTCCTTAGTTCTAGGTTGCTTCTCTTCTTGATCAGTTTCCACCTGTTGCTTCTTGTCCTGCCTTCAGGGGCTTTGGAAAATAGCTTGACTCCCTCTTCTTTGGGGCAGCCCCTGAGATACTGGAACACTGCTATCACGTCCCCCCTCATCCTTCTCTTCGTTAAACTAGACATCCCCAATTGCAGCAATCGTTCCTTATATGTTTTAGCCTCCAGTCCCCTAAGCATCTTTGTTGCTCTTCTCTGCACTCTTTCTACAGTCTCAACATCTTTTTTACATTGTGGTGACCAAAACTGGAGGCAGAAGTCCAAGTGTGGCCTTACCACTCCTTATTAGGAGTCCTGTGGGACACAGAAGATCAACTGAAATTGAGAAGGAGAGCTGGGTTCCAAAAGCTGTGAGTGTTGGTTACATTGAATGTTTCCTGCTGCTTCAGTTACAAAGGATCTCATGGGGGCCATATTTTTTTATTACTTACCTCTGCATTTCAGTGGTGAGAACAATATGGCTTTACACTTAGGCAAGAAAAAAGGAATGCACAGGTATAGAATAGGTGATACGTGGCTCAATAGCAGTAACTGTGAGAGTTTGGCTCCAGAGGTTTTGGGTGCTCCATCACTGGAGGTTTTTAAGAATAATTTGGAAAGCCATTTGTCTGGAACGGTGTAGGGCTTTCCAGCTTCAGCATGGGATTGGACTAGCAGGACCCTGCCAAGTCGGTTATTCTGTAAGTTCTGTTGGTTCTCAGGTGTCGCATCCAGTTGCCATGGATGCTGTAGAGATTTAGAGATGGTTTCAGAGTGAAGCACAAGCATTTTCCCGTGCCCTGAATAACACAGTAACTTAAAATCTATTTTCAAAAACAAAATACTCAGACTTAGTTACATATAAAATCATCCTAGTTTCACAAACTAAATATGACTTTTCAACATT